TTTAGCACCCTTATAAAATGTGACATTAATCATTTTGAAAATATAAATTCTAATCTAGCAACGATATAGAAATTAACTAATTGATAAATATGTAATTAAAATCGAAAATAAGAAGCAAAATAGTAAAAAGAAAGTGTAGTAGAAATTTATTATCCCTAAAAAAGATAATAAAGTAGGAAAACTGGATCTGAGATATAAAGAAGTGGAGAAAGTGTTTTATTGAAAGATATATAAAAGAAAATTTTAATTGGCAATTTATAGTGAATGACCTTAGCCTTTCACGAATAAACATTTTGAATACTCAGCCAACAATAGCTAATCGTTTTTCTCCATAAGTTATTTAATTTTCCTTTTGACTTGTTTCATTATTAAATTATTAAAATAATAGCTTGAAATGATGGGGTGGGAGTTGTGTTTAAATTAATGGGGCACCTTTTATTTTCATTGGGGGCACCTCCCCATTTGTTTAAAATTACATAATAAAATTTGAATAAAGCTACAAAGCCATTGGGGGCATGTGCCCCCATTCATTTTCAAATGGATCCGCCCCTGTTCCCAGTTCATCGGTTAGTGCAATGTATTTAAGAAATTGCTCTAAATAAGAGTAAAATGTTTTGGAACTCCAAAATAATAGCACCAAAATTTTATTCCTGGAATAAGAGTAATTACTGCAATACGTTAAAAATACTACTTCGTATCAAGTATGATAATTTACTGCCATATTTAAAGCATGACAATGTGGAAATATGACAATAATTTTTAGTAACGTAATCCTATTTATGGAAAGACATAATTTTTACATTGTTTTTATTTCTATTTTAGAAAATTTTTAAATTCATTTTTTCCATTGCTTTTGACTGTAATTTTTGTATTATATTTAAATAGATTCTTTAAATTTCAATGTAGTTTTTAATTTATCTAAATTCAAGATAATGATATCATGGACTTCTAAAAGCGGCCTTCCCTCTGAAGTAGGGTTTCTCTTCCGCGGATTTTCTGGTGCAGATTCGTAGATCGTTGTGGCGTCCGGGAAAAGGTGTGCTGATTCAAGATATCGGGGAAAAGAGGTATCTATTTACATTTTATCACAAGATTGATATGAACCATGTGCTGAATGATGGACCTTGGTTATTCGATCAGAACTTTTTAGTACTGAGAGCCATTAAATTAGGGGATATGCCTCTGAAGGTACCACTGGATACCGCTGAATTTTGGGTACAAGTCCACAACATTCCCTATGGCTTTTCTAATTTGGGGTATGCTCGTAATATTGGAAATAATTTAGATAAATTTGTTTCTTGGGATGACAATCAATTTGCCGAGAAGCGGGAAGCTTATATGAGGGTGCGTGTGTTGCTGGATGTGAGGACACCCTTAAAGGTGGGGCTAACTTTGAAAAAGAGCAAGGGGGAAGGGTATTGGGTTAATTTCAGGTATGAAAAATTACCTAATTTCTGTTTTGCTTGTGGTGTTATTGGACACGCCGAAAAGTTTTGTCCCCTACTTTATGAAATCGGGGAACAGGAAGGGGTCAGATCTTATGGCCCTTGGCTGCGTGCGGGGGGAGGGAGGGCCCGCCCTTCTACGGGAAGTCAGTGGTTGTTGAGTGGAGGAGGGGTTGGGAATGACAGAATGGGAGGATACAACTTTTCCAAGGTAGTGCAGACCCAAAGCCAGAGTCACAGTCTCACAGGCAAGGAAGGCTCAAGGACAGCGGAGAGGAGGTAACATCTGAAGAGGATAGAACAATCAGCAGTGGAATGGGGGAGTAGAAGAGGAGGCGGACCTGGGACGGACAGGAGCAGGTGCAGGCGCATTCCGAGGAGGATGTCATGGCTGTGGACGAATCAAAAAACAGGGAAGAGGCGGGCTGGCATACCTAGACCCGCCACTAAAGTTGAAGATGAGGAGCTCCTGGCTGATTGGAGTCACTTTTTGACTCAAGACTTGTTTTTATCTTTGTCGTTTTTCCTTTCGAACATGTTTTGATGTTGCTTGTCTTTGTTTCTACTTTTGCTAAGACTCTAGAACATAAGACATGTGGGGAACAGCCTAGTTTACCAATCATTGGCTCAGTTTCGCCCAATTCAGGATCAACGATTCTGGTTGCTTCTTTTGAGGTGACAGATTTTATGTCTGGTTCAAGGGCAGACGGTAGGCATGAGGTTCTTGGTCTGGTTGTAACCTGTTTACGTTCTTTCTTATTAATACAAGCCACCTTCATCTAAAAAAATTCAAGATAATGATAATTCTAATTTGAGTATTGCGATGGACAAATGGTAACATCATGGCTGTGTATGTCACACAGTAAAAGAAATGAGCAAGTTATTATGAAGTATTAATCACTATTAATGTAACTCCCTTGTGAAATATAAATTTTGTGCATTAATCTTTTATGATTTAAAAACGCATCAAACTCTCTGTGTTATAGTTATTCATGGACACAACCACCTTGATAAAAATTGTCAGATAAAAAAATGGTTAGTATTTTATCCTACCTCCGTCTCAAATGATTAGTATATGTGCTTTGTGAAAAAGTAAGTAAAAGTGTATTGACAAAATTGCAATTTTAGTAAAAGAAAGAGTAAATTATGAATGTTAGGTGGGATAGTTTGCAAAAAAGGAAACATAACATTTTTTTTTGGGAAAAATCCAAATAGGAAATATGTTGTTTTTGAGATGAAGTGGGTTTAATTTAGAGCTCCTTTGGTAACACCAATATTCGACTTATCACATTTTTCATTTTTGGAGTAAGTTTAAAGAAAGTTGACCTAAAATACGAGTAAAAACATTTTAGAATTTCACAATTAGAATATTGTGTTTTTAACTACCAGTTATGACAATACACCGATCAGGGGTGGAGGTGGAGGGGAGACCAACCACGCCCCGACCCTATCCAAATTTTAAAATTACTTATATTTTTAATATAAAAATTTATGTGTAAAAATAATTTTTACCGGCCCATCCCAACTCTTATTCCTGGCTACGCCCCTGACCGATACATTTAAATTCTAGTAATGTCAAAGCATGACATTAAGTGGGTGTTTGGATCTGTTTTGTAAAACTGCTTCTCCTCCTTCAGAGAGTAGAAGCAGAAGTTGGAGTGTTTCGGTGAAAGTGCAAAAGTAATTTTGGAGCTTTAATTTACTCCTAGAATCAGTTTTTTTAGGAGCTGGGGGAGTCCAGTTTCTGAAAACTGATTCTGATTCTGCTTCTGATTTAAAAAAGAAGCAGAAGCAGAATCAGAGCCGGCTATAACCCCAGTTAGGCCAGGCTTGTGCCTAGGGCCTCACATTTCTAGGGGTCTCAAAAAATAAAAATACTTGTATTATGAATAATTAGAATTAGAAATTGATGAAAGATCTAACCATCTGCAATTCCATTATCCTAAGTCCCAAAAATAAACCGCAAACACCGAAACATCTATTCCCTTCATATTCCCAATTCCTAGTGCGCACTGACTCAGTGAAGTTGAGAGGGAATAAGGAACCAGGATTTGTGGTAGGACTAATTATTAAAGCTTATTGAGTTAATATTGAGATATTGCTTCAGGTAATTTAAGTAATTTTGTATATTGATCGATATTCTATAAATTATAAATTCGAAGAACTTTTGTTTGTAGCTAGTACGTAGTATAATTTTGAAGTAATTTTTACTTGTTTGATGGTAGTATACTAGTAGAAATGTATATATTTTATTTATTTATAAGATTGTTAGTAATAATTTTATTTGTAAATAAACTATGAGCATGTTTGGCACAACTAGTTGAAAAGATACTTTTGTGAGCTTTTTAATAGCTGTTAGCTTTTAGTGACTGAAAAGATCTTAAAAAGAAAAGGTGGTAGCTGTTTGATAAAAAGTTGGCTGTTTTATTTAGTTCAGTTTGGTATACAAGCTGTTAGGATTAATTTATATTAAAAGTCACGAGCTTTTCTTAGATGCTACTCCCGGTAGCATCTCAAAAAAGATCTTTTAATTTTTGAAAAGCTCTTAAATATTGTCATGCCAAACACACAACTAGAAGCTTTTAGAAACTTTTTGAACAGTACAAAAGCTAGAAGTCAGAGACTTACGTCCGCCAAACATAGCCTATAGCTTCTCAGCTCCGTTGACTCATTTGTTTGTGATTTTTTAATATGTATATACAAACTCCGTGGTAGGTATTGTCATGACGGGTAAACCAAAGATTTATGGTATATAAAAAGAAAAGAGGAAATTGAGAAGAGTTTTGGGTATAAAATCGCTCACCGTTATTGGCAATGACAAACATTCTTTTTTAGAATGAGAATAGTGATTAAAACGAGAATATTAATAATCAAAGTGACCACTTAATGTTTGTTGATTTGAATGAGTTAAAATATTTTTTTTTTCCATTTTTAATGACTTCATTATTATAGAAAATACATTGATATATTTTACTAATATGGATTGATTTTTTGCCTAGGGCCTCTAAAGTGTTCAAGCCGCCCCTGAGCAGAATCAGTTCCAAACACCCACTAAATATATAGTCTGACAGGAATTCAATCATATTTCGGGTAGAAAATATAATAATTATATTTTGAAATTTACATTATTTAGCATTTGTACTAAAATTTTGGAAAATTTTCTTTTATTTAACTACTAGTACTCCGTATAAACCAATTTTTAATTCAGTACTCCATATTATTTCGTGCATTGATGGTTGACAAAAATAGATAGTACCCGGAGTAGTTGGAGGCTTGGAGCCTTGAAGGAGAGTAGGAGACTGAAGTAATAAAAAGAAAAGAAGAGAATTAATTAATCAACAAAAACGACACCTGTTTTGTTTATCTAATGATCGGTATAAACTTTCTATCCACTTTCTTAGCACAGTAAGAAAAAATTGTAAGAAAAGTTTTCCAATGAAAACGAAACTCAACACGAAATCATGCCTGCGTTTGCGCGATAGACACCCTTTGTTTCCTTGTCTATATGAACACATCAAATTTGTCAAAGGTTTGCCCCTAATCACTTTGTTCGTTATTCTATAAATCAATAAATATAAACTCTAGGGCCATTATCTTAATTAATTACATCAAATGGTAATTAAGTGCCTACTCGCCATCAGTAGCAGAAACTACTGCCAGTCTTTAACCTCACTTCATTTAATTACCCCCCATTTATGGAACCGTGTATCTCTCCTTTTCGGTGCTTCTGGTTAAGCTCAGATCAGAATGCTCATCGCAATTTGTAAAACACTCTTCCCTCTTCTGGTTCGTGAGTTTTAGGAATTCCTTACTGTAGCTTTCTTTATGCGGTGTTAAATCTATGCTAATTATCCTTTCAAAGTTATTTCAATGTTTTCTTAACTTCTTTTCTATTTTTTCCCAAGTAAAGATCAGTTCATGAAAGGTGAGGCAAAAAAATTCTGTCTTGAGTTTCTTTATCTACTTTGAATTGCATTTCTCATTTTCTCTCTCTGTTCATCCTTTTAGTGTACGGTTTCTTTTCCTTCTAGCATAACTTGCGCCTTAGGTCAATCTCTATATGTTTATGGAATTGTGGACACAGGACATTGGTTTGGTGTTTGGAATGTCTTGAGTAGCGAAGTCTGTTTCTAACGTTCTATTGACTTTTAAATCATGTGGTTTGATTTGGTATCCATTTAGTCTTAATCCGCGGATCCGTTTGATAAAATCTCCCATTTATTGATCTTTCAATGTGCCTCTTGCTGATTTTCCCTTTGCTGCCCATCTTGGTGTTTTGATTGGTATATTCGGGAAATACTCAGTTTGCTTCCATAACTAAAACTCCTTTCATTTACTTTGGATCCTTGTTTTAGGTAGGGCATGAAGGTTTAAACTTCACTCGATAGCCCTTTCTGGTAAGTCCATTTCAAAGCTGGCAAAAAATGAGGAAAAACACCAGTTTTCATCACTCAGGAAGGGTTTCTGGTGACAGAAAGTGGAAAGTTCCATTCTTTGTAAGCTTGCTCTTATCCATGACATTGTTTATGGCAACCATTTTCGGGCTATACACTTCATCATATCGTAGGGAAGCAATAGAAGTTGATGTCCCATCTTTCAGTGACTCATCAGAAGACTACTTTGTTGACTCGGAGCTGAGGTCATCAATGTTGAATGTGGAACCAAAAACCGAACCACCTAGGTTTGCGTACCTCATATCGGGCACAAAGGGTGACAGTCAAAGGTTGATGAGGACTTTGAGGTCTGTTTATCACCCGAGAAACCAGTATATACTGCACATGGATTTTGAGGCCCCACCTCGTGAGAGGTTGAACTTGACAATGTCAGTAAAGAATGATCAAACTTTCCATCAAGTGCAAAATGTACGTGTAATGGAACAATCTAATTTGGTCACATACAAAGGCCCTACTATGATTGCCACTACATTACAAGCTATAGCTATCATGTTGAGGGAAAGTTTGGATTGGGATTGGTTTATCAATCTTAGTGCTTCTGATTATCCTCTCATGACTCAGGATGGTTAGTGCTCTATTTATGTTCAAATATCTCAATTTGGGTTCTTGGTATGTAAGCAAGTCCATAGTTTTATATATGCGGAAAGTGTTGCTATATTTGCATAATAATATATCCACTTTTTAATGTGTGGTTGGTATTAATCGTAAAAGTCTACAGTCTACTAAATAGAAGAACTAGTCCAGTGCCTTATATGCTACTCCGTTTTTACCTATGTACCTGGTCAATCTTGAAATTCTTATGCTCTTTTTGAATATTGGTTTGATCGATTGCTTGTTTAAGTTTAAGTAACTACGATTACATATTAAGGCCTTATATGAGAAGTAACACAACGTCTTGTGTTGGTTTGTGTCTTTATACTTGGTCGGTGTGAGTATGTGTTAACAGTTGGGATATATGACTGTTACTGAATCTGGGTTAAGGTTAATGGGTCAAATCACAGACTGTGAATTTGGAAAATATTGGGAAAAGAAAATAAGGTGGAAAATAGAAGGAAAACTCATTTATTTTATTTATTTCTGTTAAATAAAGACTATGAAATCCATATATGTATAGAATTTCAAAATGCGTTGTTCATGTTTCTTTTTCTTTGTTGTTTTCATGGTAAACCCAAACATAAGAAATTAAATAGCCTAAGCACTTTTTTTTTATATCTTTCCCTAGAATTCCAAGGATCCAAAAACGCCCTTAAAGTTCTTGGTTGAATTTTGACCAGAGAATGAAGATGCTGCTTTTATATAAATAAAACAATTGAATTGAGCATGAAGTTGTATGCTGAAAACGATTATTGAAGCTTGAGTAATGTCCAGATGTTGTGCTTGAATGATGCTTTATATGAGTATTATTAATTCCCTTTACTGGTTTGGAATATGGTCGTTTGGGTTGACCTATGAAAATGATGCTTTTTTCTGTGCAAAATTATAATGTTTCTTTTTTCCCTAAAGGACCTCTTAAAGCAGAGAAATGGTTTATCGAAAAATGGTGGATTTAATGAAGTCAAACATATATAGAGTATTATGGAATTATTATGAATCAAAACTATATTGTCTTTTTTATCCTTGTCTCCGATAGCAAAACTGAATTGAGTGCTGATTATTGTTGCAGATATCCTTCATGTTTTTTCAAATATGTCCAGAAATTTGAATTTCATTGAACATATGCAGCTGTATGGGTGGAAACTGTAAGTTAATAATCAGTGTGAACCACTGATGCATGGGGCTACTTTGTAATCTTATAATAAGTTTTTATTTGCTGTTCCATATAAAGCATTTTTAAATAGAAAAGTGCTGATGCTTGCAGGAATCAGAGAGCAAGGCCTATAATTGTCGATCCTGGTCTTTATTTGACTAAGAAATCTGATATCACTATGACTTCTCAGCGCCGATCACTTCCTACATCTTTTAAGCTGTTCACGGGTAAGTTTGCTAAATATACTTATCCATTTTATACGGTCTAGCAGTCTAGTAATACACTGAGGCTCTGTTTGGTACAGCATTATCTATCTTATAAGTTTACTATTAACTATTTTAAAGGAAGGTTATTATAAGCTTTGTTTGGTTTTGAGAGCTAATTTGAAAAGCTTCAACCTTATTTCATAAGCATTAGTTTTATGTTTTGCTTACAGGAGTGAGTTCTGTCTGGTTTTCATTTGAAGTTTCATTTTCTTTCATCTTTTTTCCCAAAACTATTTTAAACATATTTTGTATTACCTCTATTTGGTATTTTGAAACCAGTTTAACAACTATTTAAAAAAGAAAAAATAACATGAATATTACTGATACAGTTTGTATGGATAAAAATATGATTAAACCCTGATCTGGACGGAAATGTAACCACTTAGAAGTCAATTGTCTTTAATCCCCTCCTTATAAATGTAGGAACCCTAGTTTTGGAATGCATTTCTTTTCCATCTGCTACAATTATCCTCTGCATAGCGGCTCAGCCTCCTCATGCACGTCTCCACTTCTGCATCACATCCTCCTCCACATGTCGCGGGGCAGACAGGGGTGGAGTCACTAGACGACGCAGGGCGACGGAGTCACTGCAAAATGCAGCGGGGGCAATCACTAGACAACGCGGGGCAGTAGAGTTACAAAATGACAATGTTACTGTACGGGGTGTAGTAGTCACTTGCTAGGAGTGTCACCGGCTCACCGTGTGGGGCGCCACTGCATGGTCAGGGGCGGAGCCAGGGCACTGGGCCGATACAAATAATATTTTTGGCGAAAATTTTACACGGAATTTTATACAATAAAAATATAGACATTTTTTTAATTTAGGCTGGGCCGGGGCCTGGGTTGCCCCCTAGCTACGCCCCTGTGCATGGTGGCAACAGTGATGGTGGCAGGGGTGGCTGAACGGTTGATTATTTTTTAATTATAATAAATGTAATACTAAAACAATAATAAATTCAATATGAAATAATTACATATTGTTGAGTAAAATAAAGGTTGTTTATAGAACTGTGACATCTTAAGTGTATTTACTACTCCGTATAACAGTAACTGTAGGCATAGTAATTCTCATGTTGAGTTTTTACACTAAAGTGACCATGACACTACTCATAGTAAGTTTAGTCAAATTTTTGTAAGTAAGTTATATTTCAGTGATACTTTTAAAAAGACATCATTTAATATTGAATCATCATCATTACCCCAGTGCCTCAAAGGCTCCCACCTACGGTGGGGTAAGGGGGGTCGGATGTACGCAGTCTTACCTCTGTACTAAAAGCACAAAGAGACGGTTTCCGAATGACCCATAGATCATTTAATTTTGAAAAATATAAAACACGTCATGTTTTCGTCTTTTGTATTTAATTTAGTGATATTCATAAAAAATCATTTAAATAAAGGAAGGCAATGTTTGGGAAAAGGAGTTATAGTGTTAGGTTAGTTAGTAACTACTCCGTATTAATTGATACGGAGTAGTTGATAAGAGAACTGATCTCATTTAGTGTGATCTCACAGTGTTTAATAAATACTACCTCCGTCCCCTTAAGTTTGGGACAAGAGAAGGTGGCACGGTTATTAATAAAAGTGGGTTTATGTGGTTGATATTGAATTGATAAAGTAAGAATAAAGTAGAAATGATTTAGAACCACACAAACTTTACCAAATAAGGTATGGGACAATCTTAGTGGGACGGACTGAAATGGTAAAATGGGACAATCATAGCGGGACGGAGGGAGTAGGTGATCAGCTAGTGGAGAGAGATAGTAAATGCCCTCTTGTAGTTTCTGCAATGTCATCCCATCTACTTGTAAAATCTCTCTTCTGTTTCCATTTAAAAATAAATAAATTCAAGTGACATTTTTTGTTTGGATGATTATTAATTGATATAATTCCTTTGGGACGTACAATGACATTTAAGATTAGGACTTTATTATATTGGTCCCCACATGCAGGGTCAGCATGGATGATCCTGACACGCTCTTTCCTGGAGTACTGCATATGGGGATGGGACATCCTCCCAAGAACACTTCTCATGTACTATACCAATTTCGTCTCTTCCCCAGAAGGCTATTTTCACACCGTCATCTGCAACGCTGATGAGTTTCGCAACACTGCAATAGGTCATGATCTGCACTACATCGCTTGGGACAACCCTCCCAAACAACACCCCCTCGCCTTAACCCTCAAGGACTTTCAGGCCATGGTCAACAGCAGTGCCGCTTTTGCCAGGAAGTTCCGGAGAGACGATCCAGTTTTGGACAAGATTGACAGGGAGCTGTTGGGCCGTGGTTCAGACCGGTTTGTGCCAGGGGGTTGGTGTGTAGGGGGTCAAGAGGATGGGAGTGATCCTTGTTCGGTCGTTGGAGATGATTCGGTGTTTAGGCCGGGTCCGGGTGCGAAGAGGCTGGAGAGTCTGATGCTGAAGCTGATGTCAGCAGATTTTCGTAGTAAGCAATGTTTGGCCAAGAACTAAGACACAAAGAGAAACTGTTTCCTGTTTTGGCAGAACTGATTTGTACAGTGTTGTAAACCATATAGAACAGATTGTAAGTTAAAAATGGTCCATTGATTAATTATATGTAGAGTCTAGCTGCTCATTTGCAAATTGCAACAGTGTAATACAAACAGGGAAACATCCAACAGAAATGTGAGTTTACCAAATCGGGGAATTTTGCTCAAATGTTTTTTTGAGATATCATATGCTAAATAAATGAAATAATGAATCGATTCATGTTAGCTGATCGCAAATTCTTTTGGGATTAAGGCTTGGATGTTGTTGTATCATATGCTAATATAGCAGAATGCATATCCTTGGAAGTTGGAATTAAACTATGTCGAATAGTTTTGAAAAAACATCGTAAGGAAAGATACAGAAGAGATGATACGACATTTTGACCAGTTAGATTTTTCACAATCCACCCTATTAACAGTAAATGCATATTCTTGAAAATATTGAAGCCATGCCTAAAAAAATTCCTTTTGTACACGCCCTTTATAAACGTTTTAGTATGCCAATGTTTTGTTAGTGTTAAAATACAAAAAAAGTGGAAGTTGTTTGTGTACACAGACAAAATTGTGATTAGACAAAATTGTGAGTGTACATGAAGAATGGTTGTAAAAGAATAGGTGTGAATCCAAAATAATCCAAAATTTCAGTCTTTGCATATCCTTGTCTAGTTGTCCCCATAGTTTTGGAGCTATGGAACTATTTACTTCTGCTATTTGCTCACAATGCGTGCAACTAAATTGATACCTGCACATTAAGCAAACGTTGAAGATTATTAGATGTTTTCCTCATTATGTTTGCATGTGCACTTCTGTCTACAATGCATCTAAGGACATAGCAAAAGTCTTGAGAAGATTTGATGTCAGTTGTTGTGGGAATATGTGATTTGTAGAGATGGCTCAATTTAAGTGGTTGACATTAAAATACAGTGTGAAATATAGTTCGAATAGGAACAGAAACGGGTCTATAACATCAAAATGGACACAAAAGCTCCGATAATAAGGCTCTTGGTCATTATATCGATCCAGTCATCCTTAGTTAACCATACCACATATTATGGGTGACTCATCATACCTAATTATAATATGCTGTTAAACTCCCAAGTCTTAATAAGTACTCCTATAGTGTTAGAATGTATGCTCTTAAACTCTTTATAGTGGTACAAATATATCCAATTTCATTTATTCTTTGAATTGATTGTAGTTTTAGTAAGTAATGCTTTATTTAACAACGGACTACTTTTTTTTTATCATCAAAACATGCCTCTATTCATATCAAAAGATTCATCAAGATTATTACATCAAACAAAGGAAAAATAAAGGAGACACCAACTGAAACTCCAACAACTACGACTGTAACCCTATGGTGAGACTTTGAGACGGTCACCCCTGAGAGAGCAACACGAATCGCTAACCATGTAGTGGGCTTGACACAGCCAAAACTATTCCCATAGATCCAACCATACCCAATGACATAAAGAGAGGCAAAAAACTCAAACAAACCGTCAAACCCAACAACAAAAATGGACGCAAGAAAACAAATAACAAACAGATAAAAACTACAAGAAAAACGTTCACGAACTTTAGCACCTCGTGCATCCCATGGTGGTGGTTCAGGAGGAGGTCGTACCACTGGTACCATGCTAATTGATCCTCCATGACCTTTGGCTGCCAAAGACCATGCATCAATCCTCCGTCCCTGCATAACCAAACTCATCCCTGCTCCGTGCGACCAGAGTAAGCGGACAGGCGGCGCCGATCTTCTCTAATGACGACAGCAACGCCGCATCCTCGAACCTTGACCACAGCGCCGATCTCCTCGAGCCATGACAACAAATCTGCCCTCCTCCACCGATCTCCGCCCTCCGCGTCTGACCTGGACTCCAGTCGAGCACCAGCGACCAAGGGATAACAAAGCCGATCTTCGATAAAGTCGAAATCGGAAAAAGGCTCCAGCGGCCGACATAGTCAAAGCCCTAGAGAGAAAAACTCGTGATCGCTCTACCTTAGCCAAAAGCAGACCACTGCTCCGCGGCCAGATATGCGAACAAGAACAGCCGAACTTCGATCAATATGATCGAATTCGAAAAAAAAAGCCTAGAGGCGGCTGCCCTTGCATTAATTTGTTTATAACGGATAGTGTAACGGACTACTAATAATGTATGTATGGTGAATGTTACGGTCGGTACTCATAAAAATGAGGGTATCTTACCTATTATGTATTTTATTGGTCGAAATCATTATTTCATCATTTTTTATATTTAAATTATATACGTGCAATATTCTAATTCGTCCATGCATGTGGACAAGGTACCATATCTTGAAAGTACCACCGAATTCTCCAATATCTATTTATATATTATCATCATATAGTATGTGTTGTTGGGAAGAAAAGGATCGAACTAATATGAGAGAAAGTCACTTTTATTACTTTCAAGAATAAAAATAAGAGACATACAAGCTCTAACTAAAAACTCTCAAAAACACTTCACACGTCTCTCAAGAATATTCAAAACTCTTCTTGATTGTGCTATGGTGATCTATGATATGACGATAGAAAGCGTTGCAACTTACAAGTTACAAGTCTATCTATTTATAGGATGAAAACTAGGTAGTAATGTCCCTTCGGGGACATCCGATAAAATTGGAACGATACAGAGAAGATTAGCATGACCCCTACGCAAGGATGACACGCACAAATCGAGAACTAGGTAGTAGAAAGATAGGAGAAAAATGAGTTGCTGATATGAAGCTTCAATGGAGAGTGTGAGAAAAGTGGTCGCTTGATGTGAAGAAACTTCCCTTGTCATTTTTGAATATGATTGAAGCTTCATAGGTGTTAGGATTGGATTATTCAATTTGCTTGTCACATTGGATATGTCTTAGAAATTGATTTATGAGAAAAGGGGCAAATAAGCCCTCGAATTATTTGCAATTTGCAATCAGGCCCATAAACTTGAAGAATTGCAGATACACTCCTCAATTCATTGAAAATGATGCAATCAGGTCCTTTTTACTTGCTGGTGCCAGTAATATTTCATCTTCTTACCCCCCACCAACAGGTAAAAAAGGATCTAATTGCATTATTTTCAATGAGTTGAGAAGTGTATCTGCAATTCTTAAAGTTTAGGGACGTGATTGTAGAATTGCAAATAGTTGGAGAGCTTATTTGTCTTTTTTCTCTTGATTTATTGATGTGTATTATGTTTGTTGACCAAACTAATATATAAACATAAATTATTGAACCCTACATCTGTCAAATTTGTAGCGACCCTAGGCACAACTGCACAAGCCTCAATGTTTCAACATGAGGACAGGCTCATCACACAACTCTAAAACTCTAAAGCATACGTTATGCTGGAACACAATACAAACACTAAATATAAAAATTAAAACTGATCGCATAATAGTTCGGTAGAATATGAAAGAGAGCATTAAAATGTTCACTCATGTTTTTTGATAGTTGAAACAGAAATGATTCAAATGAATAAATGGAATTTGCAAGGATACGGAGTATTCTTAGCGAATATAATATTGTATGCACGATGGTAATATATAGTCGTCTCAGCGGCGACTATACAACACCGACCTTAGCTCAGTTGGCAGAGCGGAGGACTGTAGTTGTACGCAGTTAAATCCTTAGGTCGCTGGTTCGAATCCGGCAGGTCGGATTAATTTTTTATTATACCTTTTCAAACATGCTTTTCAATGTTAAACGTTTTATTTTAAATTGCTTTCGAAAATAATAAATCTAGGATTGATTCCACGTCCAGCTTTTTTTGCGGATCAAATTGCAGTAAATAATCAACAGGGCCGTCTAGAGCAATTATGAGGCCCTAGACGATCATATATTTTGTTCAAATGAAATATCAAATGAAACATAAGTGAATTAGATGAAATGCATCATATTATAAAAAAGATTATGTATAGTAGCGATCCATAGAGTTTTTTTTTTGCAGCTAGCGATCCATAGAGTTAGCAAGCGATTTATACTCATGTTCTTTCTTAATTTGTTCTTTCTCTTTGTACATCTTGAGACATGTTTTCTTTTTCTCGTCACCAATTTCATACAACTTTATACAATTTCTAACTAGATAAAGTTTTTCTAACTTTCAATATTCAATAATACAAGTACAATTAATCCATTGTAGAAATATACAACAAATTAAATGACTAGATTGAATTATTATTATTATTTGGATTTTGGTTTATTATAATAGATTGATACACCCAATACTTAATAGCCTATAGGCCCTACACCGCCTATTACCTACTGCCATAACCGATTAAGTAGTAAAATATTAATAATTAAAGGTAAACAAATTAAAAGATAAAACAATAAAATCAATAAAGGAAGGATTTGAAGCTGCCAGAAACAAAGAAAGACAAGAAAGTTAGAAATTACAAAAGTCGAAGACCATTATGGCATTACGGAAACAGATGCCTCGACTCTTCCGCATGTTTTTACTTGATATAGGAGATATTTTATCACAATTAACAATTTAAATTAAACATACATATATAATATATATGGGCTTACATAAAAAATTGGAGGCCCCAAGAATTTGGGGGCCCTAGACAATTGTCTAGGCTGCATGCCCCCATGGCCGGCCCTGATAATCAAAAGCATTTAAGTCTAAAATAGGAATATTACCCGTACCGTGCACGGCATAAAATGATTTTGTTATAGTTGTACTATAGATTGCGTGCACATTGACATATGTATGCGTTATTGTAACTAATGGAAAGTCATTTATTTAGTCGATTATTACATTGGTTGATAATGTCTTATTTTTATTTATTCTTATTTATTGAGTATGTCTTATTTTTAATTAATTATCTAAACATGTTCTTAGTCTATATTTTCCAATTAAAAGAGTCATTTTTTTAACTCTCAGTTGAATCCAAATGAAATTGATTTTTTCAATCATTTTTATCTAAACAAAAAAGAAATTGCTCAATGCCTATTTTCATCCATTAGATTTCATCTGTAACTAACTATTTTTCAAACTAATAACTATGCATTTTGTAAAAAAAATTATTTAATAATGGGAGTGGTAATTTGTTGAAGATATTAGCCCTTCTAGAATTTATAATTGAGCAACTCAGTCCTTCTAATTTCTTCTTTAAAAAAGAGTCTATAAAATATATAGTTTTGTGACATTCTGATTTTAATGAAGGTGATCAGAGCGACAACAGGTCATCTTCATAACGCGATGGGTAGAGGTCGGTTTAGTTT